TCTTATGAGTTTCGGGTGATGCCGTTCGGGTTAACTAATGCACCAGCGGTTTTCATGGATTTAATGAATAGAGTCTTCAAGGCTTACTTGGATCAATTTGTCATTGTCTTCATAGATGACATTTTGATTTACTCGAGGTCAGAGGACGATCATGCTAGACATCTTCGAATAGTTTTACAGACGCTTCGTGAGCACCAGTTGTATGCCAAGTTTTAGGTTGGGGATCAGGTTCTACTCAAAGTGTCTCCTATGAAAGGTGTAATGCGCTTTGGGAAGAAAGGGAAGTTATCACCACAGTTTGTGGGTCCATTTATGATTACCGATCGCGTTGGAGCTGTAGCTTATCGGTTGGTACTTCCAGATCATTTGGATCGAGTGCACAATGTGTTTCATGTTTCCATGTTGCGAAAATTTATGCGAGATGAAGATCGGTATCAGCATATCGATGTGGGAGAGATTGAGTTACAGCCGAATGCAACATATGTGGAGCCACCGTGTCGCATTATTGACCGTCAAGATCATGTTCTTCGTAATAAAGTCATATCGTTAGTACGTGTCCAGTGGAATCACCATAATGAAGCTGAGTCTACTTGGGAACAAGAGGATGTTATTCGCTCACAGTTTCCAGATATAGTGGAAGAAGGTAAGGGCGAATTCCGAGGACAGAGTTCCTTTTATTAGGGGGGAAGAATGTAATACCCCTAATTTAAAAAGGATAGTCTCGGTATTATTTTAATAGGTTTAATTGCATTTAATTATTTAGTTGTTTTCTTGGCTAATTGTTTACTTGTTTAATTCATTTAATTATTTGTTTAAATTGAATTGAATGTGATTTAATTGTTTTATTTTTATTTTTATTTTATTTTTATATTTTTAAGGAATTGGATATGGATAGTAGTAATTGACCAATCAATTGGGCTCCATGGACTACTTGGATAAGGGGTTTAATGGGTACGGATGATTACCCATGTATATGTATATTTAATAAATAAATAAATAAATATATATATATATATGTAAGGAAAGTCCCTTTAATAATAATCTGATATATATTTATATATTATATATAAAAAGGGGTACACATAGATTATACGTAACATATATTTAGTTACCTTTTTAGTATTTAAATTTTATTTTATTTTATTTTTATTTCATTTTAGTTTGTCTTGGAATGGGAAAATGATTATGGTTATTTTAGTTGCCTATAAATATATAACTATAGAGTTGTGCAAGAAGTTAGAAAATATATCACGTACTATATTTTAGAGAGAGAAAGAAGGAAGAGGAAGGAAGAGAAAAAGGAAGAAGGAGGCTAGGGTTTTTATCAAATCCCTAAAGGCAAGTTCTAATTCTTCTCTTCTCCTTTGATTCATACTCTATGCATGCTAGATTAATTCTAGGTTTTTTTTTTTTTAATAAATTAATTGGAATCTAATTATATGAATTGATTTAGGAATTTCAGTTCATATTTCAATAATGAATTTTAATTATTTGTTTTCTTCTGCCTACGCTGTTGGTGGTCTTGATTTTAACTTAATTTATGTTATTTATGTTAGCATGAATCAATCAGTTTATGCATATGTGGGTAAAGTCATAAGGCATTCTTTATAAATTTGTGCGCGCCGAATGAGGAAACTATTGATAATTGATTTAATAAAGAAAATCCAGAATGTGATTTAAATGGTAATGAGATTTTGTTTTCTTTCCATGCACGCCGAACGAGGAAGAATAGCATTAGGAATCTTCAATTTGTTACATTGAGTTTGCAATTGAAATTCAATTCCTACGTAAGCCATAATGAAAAGTCAACTTAAAGTAATTTGTTATTATTTCAAATTATTAGGAAGGAATTTGGTATGTAAAAAAAAATGTTAATTATGCGCTAAATATTTTAAAAGTTAGACTAATTAATATTGTGATATTAAACTGATATTATTATTTTTGATTGATGGATTAGTATTAAATATTTATTTAATAAATTTATTAAAAATTGGAATGCATGATTTAAGTTTACATGCTAAGTATGGAATTTAATTAATTATAAAAGAGATAAATTAATTAAATATTCTTGGAGTAAATTATTTTAATCAATTGTTAGATTTAAATTAATTTAATCAGAATATGGATATGTACAATTTAGTTGAGATGCATGCTAATTTCTTGTGATGTAAATTAAATGCATACTATTTGGAATTTATATTTTTGCTCAAGTAAATGCAAAGGATGTGTATATGATTTATATCATATTTATTTGGATTGTTATATGTAAACATTATTGACATTATCCTTGGATTTGAAACTTTTCATTGGTTATGATGTGGATTAATGCACCATTATGGGAAGGGGGCATGTTAGGGACGGATTAACTTAAAAGTTAAGTCCTACCTATTTTTAATAAGGGAACGGATTAACCATAGTGTTAAGTCCTACTTATTCGTGTCAGGTCAACGGAATAGTTGGATGACATATTATTAAAATAATAATTGGATAGTTTATTTTTGATGGTTGGATAGGACGGATTTTAAATATATAATTATACACCATGATATGAGCTTGAGTCTCAGGATCAATGGTTAGGGTGCGTATATCGCCAGGGATGTGTAGCTAGATATAGCGTAGTTGTGTACCCTGGTAGGTCTAGGTACTCATGCCCACTATGTGTGCGTTTTGCATGTTGCCTACTATTCAGGTTGAGACAACTCTATAGTCTAGTGAGGTTCCTTTAGTGTGTATATATCTACATATGGACTATTTAGTTATTGTTGAATTAATTAGGATGTCTACGTGTATCGGGTTTCTGTTTGGGATGTAGTAGATTAGAACTTGTTTGTGGGCCTAACCCACCATTATTTTTCAGGTGTTCGTCAGTTCCAGTCTTAGAGATTGTTCGTGCCGAGTAGAGACAGTCATTCACTCTTCCGACTCTACGTAGGACTCGTCTTCATTAGTTACTTATTATTTTTATTTCGGTTCAGTTATTTCAGTTAGGATATTATTAGGGGTCCACATGATGGATTCCCGAGTTGTAGTTTAATTAATTACTAGTATCCGAAGATTGGAGAATTTTATTATTGAATTTTTAATTATTATTTATTTGAGAATTTTAAAATAGAGATTTATTATTTAGTTTCCTTCAGCTTATTATTTATTTATTCTTTATTATTCTTTTTGTATTCAAATGCTTGTTTAAATATTAATTGTTTGATATCCCTTGTATTTTGTGCTCGGACTTGATCACCCCGTGGCTCTAGAATTGAGGGGTATCACATTTTCCCTTCTGATTCTCCTGCCTTCCCCACTTCCGTGTTCAGATTTTTCACCTGCTTTCCCCACTTCCACTTTCACGATCTAAAAAATTTGGAAAGAAAAATGATAAGGGAATTTTAGACTTTTTGAAATATAAAATAAGGATATTTGGTAAAATTCTTTATTCGGATAATTACGAAGTATTTCAGAAAATACATGAAATATATATATATATATACTATTACTGTGTTTTTTTTAATTGACATGGCCCAATTTGGGCCACACATCCAAACTGGCGGGAATAGGCACTAGAGATGATTTCTCCCCCGAGGGAGGGAGGAGAGGCGACCGGGTATATATATATTAATTGTAAATTTGTAGTGTATTTAGGGGTATTATAGTCTTTTTATTTAATTCTTTTGGTTAGAGAGCACCCTTGACCAAGTCAAAGGTATTTAAATCATATTACATAGTGTTAGAGTTCAGAACATAACAGTTGAGGTGTGAGTGAAAGACGGAACAAACGTTTGTAACGTGAGTGATAATAATTTTAGAAAGATACTTGAGTGTGATATTTGGCCAAACCTGAGAGAGTGTGAGTGAAATTAATCCTAAATTTTAATAAAATGTATCATATCAATAATTATTTATACCCATACTTTATTTAAAGTAACAAAATATTTAAAAATTGGAAAACTTTGAACTCATAGTAGCATTGCTAAGTTCCGTCTGGCCAGAGCTATTAAGCATGAACTCAGTTCATTTGCATTCTCGGAACAATAGTTTAAATAGGTGTGGCAATAATTTTTCTATCACGTGTGGATCTTATGATATGGTGCATTTGCTCTCATGTTATCATTATTTGTATTATGAACACTGTCTAATTACACTGTCTAATTATTAAACGAATTACATGACACCGTACTTGTTTAATAAATGAATTAACACGTAATGTAACGATGATAAGTGACATTTAATTACAAATTTTATATTATTAGACTCATTTAAAAAATAAACACAATTCATTTAAGTTAAACATGTCAATTTTAATAAAACACTACCGAACACAGAAACCGTATTTTAAAGTAATTTGATTTATTCTAAAATAAAAATATATTTGGTAACAAAATTTACATCACTCACACATACCGTTGAGCCCCAGTTCGTTGGTTGGTAACTAAATTTGTTGATAAACCTTTGTTTTTTACCCAATTGCCAAAATAATAATAGTAATAAATAAATAAAAAATACTCCTGGTTGCCGAGTAGGTCGTTAGCATTTCGATTTGGCTTAATAAGATTAAAATTCACTACCCTAGGTTAAGGACTCCCTGTCAATTGCCCAGTTTCACTAGCCAGCTCTTGCCTGTTCTCAATTTCTAAAAAACTCAATAGTCTCTCTCCCTTCAACACCACTCTCGTAGTCTATACCGTATTATCCAGACGTAAAAACTGGAATTTTTTAGAAGAGAGGTACAGACACCTAGAGAAAAAGATAGCGACATTAGAGGAAGCCTATACATATATATATGTATGTATATTAATATTATTATACATATATACTGTACATATACAATATAATTTTGAAAATTAGGATGGGGATGATAAGGAAGGAATAGTCTGAAACACACAAGATGCATGTGGAGGAGAGCCACCCACTTGCCCCTGATCGGATGTGGTTTCGAATTTTCACCTCCAAATGCTCATCCTCAAAATGGTGCGTCTCTCTCCATGACCCCAACCGTCCTTGTCTTCATCCCACCTCTTGTCGTCATCACTCGCTTTCTATAAGATGTGACTTTTTTTCAGCCAATTATTTATTTCACTCATCAAGTTTATCTACAACTCCTCCTCCTCTGGTTCCTCTCTGCATGCACTCTCCTTCATAGTCTTGGAACCCAAGGTCTATTTCTCTCCTTTCATTCTCATACTGTTTATGTTATTTGAATTTCAGTTCAGTTTATTTATCTCATTAAGCTGAATTTAATATACAGGAGGTGTGATTCTTATGGGTTCAACTTATTTATGTTATTGGAAATGCTGTTCAGTTTTTTTTTTTGTTTTTTTTCCACTTCTTTTCACACTCAATTTCATTGATTGTGCAAATACACATATGCACAAAACACACAAGGTGTTAACAAGTGTTGACACTATTTCATTGCAGATATGTAGTTAATCCTGTTGCCTTTTTTTTTTTTGCTTGGCAGTATAGTTCTTCAAGATTTGGTAGTGTTATGTATATATGTCTTTCCTAGTATGAATATGTGTATATGCTTGTTCTTTTCTTTTATGCCATGTTCGGTTATTTTGTCTCCAATTCCAAAGCACCAATTCCATACAACCAAACATACCATTAAGGTTTTTGTGGATTTGGAATGGAATTACTTTTATACCAGTCTTGTAGAATCTGATACAACAGTTAACATTTTTTTTTTTAAACTTCTCAACATCTCATGTGCATCTTATCGTTCTTTTTTCTTTTCTTAAATTCCTATTTATTTCTTTCTTCTCTTGGTGATGAATTTTTCCTTTTCTCATCTTGTAGTTATTATGTGTATCTAACCTTCAGTTGTTTTCAAGTTATTCTACTATATGTTAATAATTCACCTGCCTTCTTATCTAATTAATCTCCACAGAATTTAAGATCTTATTACAATATATAATTTATTTATCTTGGTTCACAGAAGGATTTAAACTAGAAAGTTTTAGTCAATTTCTTGTGGAATGAGTATATAGTATTCTGATTTCTGTAATTCTCATGATATCTTAAGACTTTCTGAGACGAACACAAGCAAATAACCACAAATATGGAGATAACCAATGTCAGCGAGTATGAGGCCATTGCCAAGCAAAAGTTGCCGAAGATGGTGTTTGATTATTATGCATCAGGTGCTGAGGACCAATGGACTCTGCATGAGAACAGATTTGCTTTCTCAAAAATACTGTGAGCTTCATACCTTGATTAGCAATTGCCACAATCACGACTTAACGATTTTCCCATGTTTTCATAAATGGTTTTGTTTTCTGGTACAAGTTGTTGTCCTCTCAAAAAATCGTTTCAATGAAATGCAGGTTTCGACCCCGTATCCTTATTGATGTAAGCAAGATAGACATGACCACCACTGTCTTGGGCTTCAAGATATCAATGCCCATTATGATTGCCCCAACAGCCATGCAGAAAATGGCTCATCCTGAAGGTAAGCAGCTATGTGCCTTGAGCGTATTCATTTTTATTATTGAAGCAGACTATAATTTGAAAACTTAGTTTGCTTTTTTATTTTATAAGTATGTTGTTATGTCAATATGCACTCAATTTCATCCATGCTTTTGAAGTCCTAAATTTATCAAGTTTATGAATATCAACTTGAAAGTTCAATCTTATTCATAATTTCATTAATTTGAGAACTTGTAGTGAGTTCTAGAGCAGGGACTTTATTCTAAAGGTTGATGAAATACCTAATTATTATTAATCCTTTGAAAATGATTCCTATGTCTTGACTTGGTTGAGTCTTAAGTAGATGACAATTGAGAACTTATGGTGAGTTACAGAAGGGAATTGAATGTAAATTTTTTCGGTCTTCAGTCTATAAACTTAACCTTTCTGGGAGCTTCAGTTAATTATATTTGGTTCAATACTTTAATTTATTTGACTTGGAATCCAGCCATGCTTACTGATATTATTTTTATCTCCATTTATCTTTAGCTTGTTCTCAAGTAGCCACCTTTATTAAATTCATGAACAATAAATCTAAGATCAATGCTCTCTCACTCCCTAGTTATGGGAAGGCGTTGCTGAAAGCCTGAAATGACAACTGAAATGCATATTTTAATAAGTCCCCATTTTCTGAATGTTGCCTAGGTCTCAAGCACTTCCTTTATATGTGTATTGACCATCTAATTGATTTTTGTTATACTCCATTTGGTTTTTGAGAATATATAGGGAAAGAAAGTATATTGTTTTCCTGCAAATGGAGCAATAGGATCTAACTTTAGTTGAGTTTTGATCTAGTCAAACTGATACAGGGGCTTTATTCCAAATTTAGTAGTCTACTTATAAAAGGATTTTACTGAGGTGGTAATACCAATCTGCTTCATTATGAAAATATGGTCAATAAAAGAACACGGTTTCCAATCTGATGACATGGCTTCATTCTCATGCAGGAGAGTATGCAACAGCAAGAGCCGCATCAGCAGCTGGAACAATTATGGTTTGGATTCTCACATTTTTAATTTTCCAATTATTCCTCAAGCAACACTACAGATTTCAAACACCATGAACTTCACCTGCTCACATAACTTTTTGCTATCTGATTTAATGAGACAATGATCTGAACACCTGGACAGAGAGACTCGTATACTTTAAGGTTTAGTTATATGAAGAAATTTTATCATAATGCACTAATACCCCCACTAAGCTTCATTCCTGGGCACATGATCCTAAATGTGGTACACTTTCATTCTGGAACAGTAAATTTTCTGACCTAAATGTTGTTTATATTTCCTTTGTTATTTTTTTCACTACTGGAAGGCAATATCAAGAATAAGGAACTGAATACTATTAAGGATATGTAATTCTGTCATATATAGGGGCAATGACCATAATACACTGGAGGGCCAACATTTTTGAAAAATAGGTGGCATGATATCCTTACAATAGCTTTAAACCATATAAACTCACTCTTTTTTTTTTTTTTTTTTTCCTAATTGGTACTCACACACACTTGTCTCTTTTTGAGACTTGAACCCTGACCTCTATTTGGGGGGAAAGAGACTAATACCGTTAGGCCACTGACCCATTGGTCATATAAACTCACTCTTGTCAGATCACATCCTATGGTATGCAGCATACTGCGTACCAACTCTAGTTCTGTGTAGTGTTTACCACACAAATAGCACTCTAGGTAACACTAATTTGTATGTGTGTGTGTTCTAGTTCTGAGACGACCTGAAGTCATATAGAGAGGTCTAACCTTAAGAGGAGCCGGTGATATTTTAGAACTCTCAGTGGATGTTACAGATGATTTTTGAAAACCTTTTGAGCTATATTTGACATTTATAACCAAGGTTTTTGGTATTTACTATGTATATTATTGCAATACTTAGGTGGTAGCAGTATGTCAGATGACAATTAATCTGTTTATATTGCACACGAGGAATCTATAATTGTTTCCAATTTTCACATGGACTAACCATTACAAGTACTGATCTTCATTCAGAATTTAAATCTATGAGAACTACATTTATGGGAGTTTATCATGCTTCGTGGCTTCTAGGATCTAAATAGCGTACGTTCCACTTCATTTATGCATCATTTTTCGTTGTTCCAGACATTATCATCGTGGGCCACTTCTAGTGTTGAAGAGGTTGCTTCAACAGGACCTGGAATTCGCTTTTTCCAGCTTTATGTAAGCTTGAAATAACGTCTTCACTTTATTTTCTTTATCATATTTGTTATTTATCTGGTCCTGACGTGTAAATATAATTATTTATGCTCTGTATGGGGGATAAGTCCGTTGCTTTTGATTCTCAGGTGTACAAGGACAGGAAGGTAGTTGCTCAGCTTGTGAGAAGAGCTGAGAGGGCTGGCTTCAAGGCTATAGCCCTTACAGTTGATACCCCAAGGCTGGGTCGTAGGGAAGCTGACATCAAGAACAGGTGCGCTTTTCAGTTGAAACATTGTTACAGGAATGACAGGTTTAAACTACTAGGTTGAGCAGTATTTAGCTCAACTTAGTCAGTTCAGCTTTAAGGAGTCAAAACTTAAGGTTACTTTAATGTCCAAAAACACTTTTGATTGCTTCTGTTACAGATTTACTCTGCCACCGTTCTTGACATTGAAGAACTTTGAGGGATTGGACCTTGGCAAGATGGATGAAGTGAGTGAAAGATATAACTATCTCACTGGTTATCATAAATGATGAGATTTTCCTCATGTTATTCTTGATTTGTTTTCCGGGGAAATGCAGAGCAGTGACTCTGGACTCGCTTCATATGTTGCTGGTCAAATTGATCGTTCTCTGAGCTGGAAGGTATGTTAGTTGGGCTTGTGGTCAAAGTGGCATTGCTTTAAGGTTATGATCATACTTCTGAAATCCGTTGGCTTATTGCATACACACACACACACTCATACTTGGACTCTTTAGAAGGATCAATTTCATCATTTCCGATAGTTCAGAAAGAGCTCGGAAACCTTTTGCTTTTTTTTCTTTTCATTTTATTTTTTGTATTTAAATAAATAAATAAATAACTGAGAAATGGAATTCCGCAAAAAATACGAGGGAGTAAAATGCATATGAATTTTAGTAAATTTATGAACTGGAAAAAAAAAAAGAAAAAAAAAAAAAGGGGGTTTCAACAGCTGAAATCTGCTGCATATTTGATAATTTGACAAGAGAAATGGATTTTGGTTGGAGGAGGTTCAGCAAGAACAACGGAAAAACATGATCACTTGATATGTAAAGATTGCATAGGAATGACTGCATTTGAATAATCTCTCTCCGGATATGAACAGGATGTGAAGTGGCTTCAGACAATCACCAAATTGCCTATCCTGGTGAAAGGAGTACTCACGGCTGAGGACAGTAAGAACGCTAGAACTTAAGGTTATTTGCTCACCGTCATTTTTGCTCATGAATCAGAGTATCGATTCTTCTCTGCTGACAATGCAGCAAGGATAGCTATACAAGCTGGAGCAGCTGGTATTATCGTATCCAATCATGGTGCTCGGCAACTGGATTATGTTCCTGCCACTATCATGGCTCTAGAAGAGGTATCCAAACTTGTTCATACCTGTTTTTTAGTGCATCTCTTTCACCTGATATTTATATTGAACTTGCAGTTATGTGAAAACTTATACTATTATGATATCATGGTTTCTGTTGAGTTAATCTCAGGTTGTGAAAGCTGCACAAGGTCGTGTGCCTGTCTTCTTGGATGGAGGGGTGAGGCGTGGAACTGATGTCTTCAAAGCATTGGCCATTGGAGCCTCTGGCATATTTGTAAGTAAAGTAACAAAGATCCCTTTATTTTCTCGTTCCTTTGGGTGGTGGCTGTCATACGCCAATCAGGAAAACATGATTTAGCTGGTATCCTATTAAGTTCATCTTTTTAAGTCAGTCGTGCAACTAAAACTTTGTACCATGTTAAACTTACTGAATTGAGAACTTTATTGCTTTCCCTAAGTAGTTTCAGTTCAGTGAGGAGAAGTATGTGGATACCTTAAAATGTGAATTGAAGTACTACCGCATAATTCTCTTCTTCTTAATAGATAACTGATTTCAATTACGACAGCCAGAGGCTAATTTCTGTGGGAAAATCATATTTGTCTAGAATTAGGCTGGTCATTCATGCTGTATATATTCTTCCCATCGCTTTGAACTACTTGGATGACACTATGATTCTGTTCCATACTTATTGTGATTTCAATTTCTATTGTAAAAAGTATACTCTCAATTAATCATCTTCTCAATTTTAGATTGGACGACCTGTGGTGTTCTCACTGGCTGCTGAAGGAGAAGCTGGAGTCAGAAAAGTTCTCCAGATGCTGCGCGATGAGTTTGAGCTAACTATGGCATTAAGTGGTTGCACTTCACTCAAAGAAATAACCCGCGACCACATTATGACAGAGTGGGACCTTCCTCGCCATCGCCCAATACCCAGGTTGTAAAAGAATGCGGTTAAAATGGGAACAACTGCATTTGTTATGGCAGAGTAATGCTAAAATGGTTACTATGTGTGTTCAAGAGCCTGCATTTCCTTTGAAGTATCTCAGTTCTGTTTCATTGAGTCTACATATATTCTAAAAACGTTAACCTTCTAAAATGGTGATGGATGGATATATTTTTCATAAATGGCCACTGCCGCCTTCTTCAATGTATATTCTTTTTATAAACATGTTATCATTTATTTAGTCCGCCAGATCTTCCTAAAATGATGTTTCGTCTATTAGGGATCTGCAATGGCAATGTTTTGAAATGTCGATGATTAAATGCTTGTCTTGAAGTTTTGCTAGAAGAGATACCAACTGTTAGACGATACATGCATGCTGTCAGTTCCCAGTCTGTTTTTGGATCTTGTGGGAAGGAAGGCTCATTCCTTCCCTCTTCCCAGCAATGAACTAATTCCTCCAAGAACATAGATATGTAATCGATCTTTAACTGCAAATAGTAGGTAGCCTTAGGGCTCTTTAAGACATTGTAAACACGAGGACAGGAACTCAAACCAGCACTTAAAATTGTGCCTGATGAGGTTTGTGATCTCATTTGTAATGTTCTGTTTGTTTACCTGTGATTTAGAGTTGAGAGGAGAGATGTTGGCTATTACTACCACAAAAAGGTAGAAATTCTAGCCCTGCTGGTTTATCTACTAAGGCGTTGATAAGGAGGGCCCTAGCTGACTAAGAGAGTTCTTCTTTGATGTCCGCTGGGTTAAAACTCATGATTTTAAGCCACTGCAAGAGAGTGAGGGAATGGAAAGTTGGATCAACACTTTTGCCAATACCCATTATGAGTTGACACTTAGAGAACAGTTATGTAGAGCAATTTATTCCATTGATATTCAATTCCCATGTTCCTGAAGGACTTGGTTCCTTCTGGCTGTAGATGGTTAATGTGCATGGTGCACCCCTCTTTTGGAGAAGGCATTGGGTGCGTCCGGCCACTGGGCTCATTCGAGCCGTACACGTGTCGGCGCGTGTTGTGCACGTTCGGCTCGGATGACACCGAATATCTAACCCCTCTTTAGGATATGTGATGAAGACTAGTATTTGAGGCTTGTACTTGAACTTTACTAAACAAATATCTCATACCATTTGAAAATAGTACTAACGCATGTAAGCACTTCATATTATGCAGACGATATAGGATTATACACTTGTAGCTTGTCAATGCTTCGCACCCGCCCACGTATACCCGTCCACAAGTTACAAATGATACATGAATCGAAGCCCAACCGATAGTGTGCCTAACTAGGAACCAACCAAATCCAAATGTTAGGAGGGGATATATTTGACAATCTAAACACCAGTCATGTTTACAAACTTCAACTCTACCAGCAAATTTAGAAATCTAAAAATATTAGGACTTCAATTGGTTTGCAACTCTAAAAGCAGTTTTTGAGAATTCAGAAAACAAAAAACTGTTTTTAGATAACTATAAAAGACAATTTTATAAAAACAAGTTTTTTTATAGCTGATTTTTAAAAACAATTTCAAAAAATTGAAGCAAGCATAATTTTTGTATAGTTTTCTATTGTTCGTTCTAAGAAAATAAAATACTATTTTCATAGTTGTAAACCAAACAAATCCTTATTATTTGGTTTTGGAATAATTTTCAATTTTCAATTATTGTAAAAAAGAGAATAATTAAAGACAACACGTGTTAATGATACTAAAAACATTAAATCTCATTCTATACTTATTTCGGACAATTGATTATTTCATCCTAAATCCAATTGGTAAATCAAAGGCTCTGTGTGTCCCTTGTTCGAAAGCGTACATTATCTAATTTTGTTTGTAGCCTGTGTCTGTTTATGTCAATTGGATAAATTACATTAAATTTTTTATACTGATTTATTATGTTTTATAACTATTTGGACTATCCCCTCTTACTTGTACGGTTGTACCACTTTGAAAAATTACAAACCTTTTGCTAATAATTTCAATGGAAAGTCATTTGGATATATTAATAAAAAATAAAATAAAATAGTATTACAGGAGCAAAATAAAAAATTTAAAATTCTTAACTGTTTATTTATTGTAATGTTTAACATAATATTACAGTTTTTTATTTTTATTTTTATTTTTATTTTTTTAATTTTAAAAAGGTACAATGAAAGCACACACTCACAAGTCACAACTCACAATGCCCTCGTAGGGTTAGAACACTCACCCTTCTTCCTGTCCAATACTTTCCATACAAGAAGTCGAATAGCGGGATTGGTGCAAGTGGAGAAGGGAAAAAAAAAAATAATAATAATAATAAAAAAACCTTAAAATCTTTAATTAAGGTAATAAAAATTAAACTTAAAATCTTTAATTACGGTATCGTGTTGTTTTGTAAATTACAAACATTTAGAAGGGTATTTAAGTCTTTTCACTATTGGTACTAATACTAGCAAAATAGCAGGGTCGAAGAGGGTAACTGAGAAGAAAGTTTTTTCCCTCGACAAAGTGCCGCACTGAAACCACAAGAACAGCAGACTATCAATGGCGAAGAAACGAAGCAGACAACAAAATCCAGAGCCTTTTATGGCCGAAGAATCCGCATCGGTCTCCAAGAGACGAAACAAACCTTCCAAGCAACACCAGAAAGAAGAGAAGGTATCGTCTATCTACTTTCTCTCTCATCTTTCCCTACTTACCTTCTCTCTTTACTTACCTTCTCTCTGTGTTTTGCAGCTTATATCAACTGGTATGAGTTCCAAGATATTGAAGGAAGCTTTGATTCAGCAAAAGGAGGTCCAAGAGGAGGCGGAGGAGCAAAACCCTAACAAACTGGTGTTCGACGAGGAGCCGCCCGCTCTGGCCGCATACGAAGAAGAGGATGTGGATGAGTTTGATGGATTTTCAGAGACTCAAAGCCAATACGGTGGTTATGAGGTCACTTTGATTTATCATTTTTCTTAAAAAAAGAAATTTCGCCTTTAGCTCCATTTAATTCTCTTCAATATCTGCTTGGTTTCTGGGAAAGTGGTGAAAAGGAAAAAAAAAAAATAGATTCCGTGTTACGTAATTTGCTTTGTAGCAAAATTGCAATGGATTGATAGACCCACATCAGTATAATAAGATAGATCCTTCTCAAGCAACCACCGGGGAATTCATCCCAAAACAAAACAACTTCCTAGTTCCTACGCAATGCATACATGTTTCTTTCAATGAATCTGCCACTCCATTAGAGCATATAGGAACCACTCAGAACATTATCCTAGTTGAACTATTCAATCAGGACTTGGTATCTTGAAAAATTGCAGCATCGATAGAACAAGAGTGACTCAGTTTCATAAGTTATAGAAAAATATCCCTTATATCAAGCCGCGCTAAACCCCAATCTCTAGCCATGTTGATGGCACTTCTTAGCTTAAGAGCCTCCGCTAGAAAAAAGTCTCATTTATATTATTAAAATAACAAATACCAGCCTTAACAATTTTACTATTGGAATTTCCCTCAGCAATGCCTCCTTCACTTTCAGCATTTTGTTCATTAAACCCAGCGTTCACACTCACCTTGAGTCTCTGCAGAGTCCACCCATTCACAGCAACTCTAGACCCAGAAACAGTTTTGTACTCATCCTCACAACCCACAATAGCTTCATAAAATTCATTGAAGTTTGCAACAGCCACCTCCACAATCCTTCTAGCAACCATCCTTTATTATTAAAATAAGGATAAGGGGAAATTAGATCTTACTGACCAAAATTTAAAACTTTACTTTACAGTGACCTTAAACTAAAAAAAAGACAAATAGCCACCAAAATTAAAAAGTTAATTGCTAATTAGTGACCAATCGAGGGTAATTTAGTCAAAAACACTTATTTAATGAAAGTAATTTTTAAATCAAAACCATAGGAAGAAATAGGGTAGTGAAAGGGCAATAACAACGAATGGGCAGCGAAGACAATGTGATGGGATGAAATTGATATTTGATATCAGTACCAACTCAGTGTATATATCTTTGTTTTTGTTTTTGTCAGTATTTATGTAAACACACACACACACACATATCAGTAATACCGTTCATTTACTTATCAGTCTTTATAAATTTATTTACTTTTTTCCTTTGAAATCTAGTGAAGACATACGAGAAAGATAGTTTTGATTCAAACATTTTTCAATATTCATATTGCTTGGTAGCCATCTTATTTGTTTCTTGGATCTTTATCAATTAATTTACCTTTTGCAACAAAGTACTTGTAATCAAAGTTTAGGAAATGTTAGGCTACAAGTCTTAGGAAATATTAACTTGGATAAATTAGGTTATTCAACGTGTATCATTGTTGTTCAATGTGTGTGTGTGTGTGTGTGTCTATATATATATATATATGCATATATATATATGAATGTTAGGCTATATGCGAACTTGAGTTAATAGGCTTCTTAAAAAAAGGGTATTTAGGACATTAAATTCTAAATGTTCACTAATTGACAATTAATTTCTAAGCTTGATTACTATTTATCTTTTTCTTAGTTTAAGGTCATTTTAAATCTATTTTTTTCTTTTTAATTTTGGTTGCTAAAATCTAATTTTCACCAAGGATAATTTCTATCCGTCCACAGTTGCCAACAAGTAGATGCTGCCATACCATGTAACTAATCACCATTAACGTCAACCAAGCACTGAGAAATTCACCAAGAGAGCCATGGTATGTTTATATCATTTGGAATTTCCTCTCTCGAAGGGCTTAATCTCCAATTGCAAAAGGACACCTCAAAAGCAAATGTCCAATATGCTCTGATTAGGGATGGCAATTTGCCCCGCGGGAACGGGTTTACAGCAATTTTGGGAGACGGTTTAGCTTATTTAGGCAGGAATGATTTTCATTAATGAAAACCCGCGCGGGTTCGGGGCGAGAGTTGGGGGGGGTCACCCCACCCCGTTTAGGTAGGTAAATTACTAAATTACTCTTATTTTATTAGTATATATAGTTAACTCTAGAAACCCTAGGTCACATTCATTCACTTTCTCAGCCGTTCTAGAGAGCAGCAGAGCCCTACAAACTAAGAACATTTATACCCTTGAATTTTATGTTAAATTATTGATTGCCCATTTTTTTATGAATTTTTTGAATAGTTATATAATTGTATTTAAGGAAAACAAATTAAAAACTAGGAGAAATTCTGGAACTAAATGGGGCGGGGCGGGTGCCCACGGGGGTAAAAAAGTTAAACGGGGGCGGGGGAGGGTAAAACCGCCCCATTGCCATCCCTAGTTATGAGCCAAGTCCACACAACTACAAACATCATCCACCCCTAATTTCTTCACTTCCAGTTGATTTATGAACTGGCAAGCAACTGTGGAAAGTGGAAACATTTCCAAAGGAAGCCTTTAATTTACCTTTAACTGGAAGCTTCTAGAGGTGTCTCCAATGCCCAGTCAGATTTATTTGCCCACTCCAATCTCCTCTATTAGTAATTGGCAGCCTCCTGTGGATCAATTTCTCCCTTGCAACTATGCAGGCACCATGAACTGAAAAATTTCCATCCCTACTTGGTCCCCAAATCACTTTATCTGCCCCAGCCAAGTATTTTCAAAGCCAATTTGGTGGTTCCGTGGTGCGTTTGATTCCCAATTTTTTTTTTTATAAAAATTATATTGGATGCAGAAGGGCATTTTCTGCTCTTGCAGAGAGCTTGAAATTGAAGGAAATAGAAGGGGAGCCACTTTGGGATGCAAATGCTTTGAAATCATTGATCCGCCTCCTTAGATTAGCACAGCCTCTTGGCAAAGGCCTTCTGCAGAGACTTTTGTTGAACTTATGTGCACATAGTGTTACGAGATCAATTTGTCTTCGTCTCTGCTTGATATGATCAAGCTTGAGACAGAATGCCCAACCAGTGGATTAATGATGCTTCATATATTTCTCTTCACTCACCTTTTGATTTCTGGAAAAGCAGAGAAAAAAGGAGGAAAATAAACTTAAGATTCTGTTTTATGTATTTTGATTTGCACGAAATTAATTATAACATTCAAATCTGAAGCTCCTCACTCCTGGTATTTCCTAAACAATGAGAACTAGTCTTATTGATCCTTTTCCTAATATTACAGGATGAGAGCAATGAGGAGGAGGAGAAGTTACTTGAGGCTTTCATGTCAAAGGATGCTAGTCAACAGCGCACATTGGCAGACCTCATTGTTGACAAAATTAAAGAAAAAGATGCACAAGTTTCTTCAGGTTTTGTTTACTTCTTCCCTTCTGTAGAGTTTGCCAGTTTAAATTGTTGGTATGAATCAATATGTCTCTTGGACTGCTACTCTGTATGCTAGAGTATAATTTTTTTTTAAAGGAATCTACTGTGAGTTAACTAGGGAAAAAAAAAAAAAAAAATCTACTGTGAATTTATACTCCATTTGTTTTATTTTTTATTTTTAAATACTACTGTTATTTGATATGAACTTTTATCAACTTGGGCTAAAAATAGAAGATTAGTTTACCGAAACTTCGCTACTAAATATCTGTCATGGCTCAAGATGGTTGAAATTTGAAGAAAAAAATCTTTCTTGAGGTCTAGTTTCCTTTTTCTCTCTCTAAATCGTGACTTAGCAATTCAGCATGATCTTGACTTTTTTGTTGTGTGCCTGAGGTACTATATTTTTATTTTTTTATTTTTTTCTGTTATTGATTAATTTGGCTTGATTCTGTTTTTGATAGAAATGCGACCCTTGCCTAAATTGGATGACTCCGTTATTGATCTATACAAGGGGTATCTTAGCTATCTCATGCTCATGATTGCAGACTTTGGGATTATGTATGTGATTAGGATTATAAAGACTTAAAAGTTGGCAATAAATTTGACTTGCAGAGTTGGTAGGCTTCTCAACCGATACACTTCTGGCAAAATGCCGAAAGCTTTCAAACACATACCTTCACTGCAACTTTGGGAGGAAGTTCTTTACTTGACTGAACCTGAGAAATGGTCGCCTAATGCAATGTACCAAGCCACAAGAATCTTTGCTTCCAATTTAGGTGTGAAGAAAGCCGAACGCTTTTACAAGCTTGTTCTACTCCCACGGGTCAGAGAAGATATTCTGAAAAATAAGAGACTGCATTTTGCCTTGTATCAATCTTTGAAAAAGTCTCTGTACAAACCGGCTGCCTTCAACAAGGGAATATTGTTTCCATTGTGTGAGGTATAAAATCTTTCATGATGTTAAAGATGAACCACTATATCCACTAAATTAACGGAAATATTATATTACTTTGATTACATTGTAATTTTTATATTATTCTTGATTCCATTATTTTCAGGTTACTGTTGAAATAATTTATAAATATACTTTTTTTATAAAAAAAAAAAAAACTAGCATATGAATATTTAATAATTGTCATCACCTTTTTTTAATGCACAGTCAGGGACTTGCAATCTGCGGGAAGCTGTTATTATAGGGAGCATTATTCAAAAGGTTTCTATTCCTCCGCTTCATTCAAGGTATGTTGGCAGTATTTTGGTGTGTGTTATTTTGTGATTTTATGTGTGATTTTCAAATAATAGGTAGAGTGTGTGGAGTTGAGGAAGGAGGAGGGTAAGGTAGCATTTTGAATAAAAAAATTCACGTTGTCTAAACCCCAAAGTGGACTCTTATGTGGAGAAGACGATATCAATGAAGGTTTTGCTCACATATTAGATAGCAAGAAATCCTTTAAGAGGCAGTTAACACTGTACCTCTAGAAATGAAAAATACTTATAATCAAAGATTGCGGAATAGGAAATATGGTAAATCTGTAAACTGTAAATAGCTTATGAAATAAATAGGAGGGTGAGAAATCTAGGATTGTAACTTGATGGGATGGAATGATTGTCAAAGCATGTTTGGTGTTGTATGTGTAAGAGGGATGAGGATTCTGTGAACCATCTTCTCTTGCATTTCCCTGTTGTTAAGGACACTGGGGCTATGTTCGTGCTGTATTTGGAGTTCATTGGGTTATGCCGGGTTACACTGTGGAACTCTGAGTCTTGGAAGGGATGTACAGTGGAGAGGCATGCTTGAGATGCGTGGGGGGCAAGCTCTTGTTGATTTGGTTGGGGCCTGTGGTTTGAGAGAAAGAGAAGGTCGTTTGGGTGTTGAAGCACCACATTATGAGCTCCCTTATTTTTTTGGGTTTCAGGCAAATGTGTATATCTGTGGTAGGGTTGGTGGATTTTTGGACAACTTGAGAGTTTTAGAGAGAGGTTTTTTATTATATAGTTGTTTTTGGGTGCGCGTTCTCCTTTTAGTGCACTTTAATGAAGTTTGCTTATTACAACAACTTGATGCTTTTGTTGGGGGGGGGGGGGGGGGGGGGGGGGGTTAACCCAACAATTATATTTACAACGCAACAATATGAATTAGTTAAGGATAGAGAGCAAAAATAAATAAACCATGAAACCACACTTGAATATACGATTTTTACGTGCAAAACTCCAACAGGAAAAACCATGAGAGTATGAGGCTTAGTCCAGGCAGATCAAATCCACTAACGAGAAAGAAATTTTATAACTAGGTTACCTATTTTCCAAATTTTAGAAAACCTCTACTTACCTCCTGACACGAACTGATCTGCCAAACTCACTCACAAATTCTTCAAGCACACAGTCAGCTCCATCAGCAGATCCGCTCCTTGCGTGATCCATGTCTCTACAAACATTTTTTTTTTTAATTTCTTTGGCTAGTCGTTTAGGTTGGCTGTTTGTGTGTAACTTGATGCGGCGTTGAAATCCTTGAAGCTCTGGGACTGTGCATTTTAACACTCAAGAACGCTGACCTATGTACATGGATTATGAATGAATGAAAAAGTCTAGCAATTGAATTGCTAGGAAGCACTATATGCCTCGTTAAAATATGATACTCAATTTTTGCTCTTTATGGTTTCTATAGGCTTGCGTAAGTTTTCTGAAAGCACAAGATCTTATTTATAGTCCACGAAGGCTGAAATAGTTTGGGCTTAAGATGGTTCAAATCAGATTTTAAAACTATTTTTTTGCGACTCTCGAATGATCAAGCCAAGTGTTAGTCGATCAACACTAGGTCAGTGAGCATCGGTTGATCCTTCAATTGATCGAACTTCCAGATTTGACTTTCCAAAAACAGTGTCATGTATTCCAAAACACGTTTTTATGGATCAAAATATGCAATTTTAAAACTTAATTTGTTTAATAATGCGAATGAATGCATATGAACCCTAAATTGGTGAGTGCACAATATTGACAGTTGAATTTACCTTTTTACCCTTGTTGAATCTTGAATTCTCTGAATTGCCCTTGGACTGAGGTAACTCAACTTACCTAACTTTTAAAATATAAACAAAGTTGGAACTCAAAATTACAAACTCCAGTTTTTATGGAATTTGTGAATCGAAGTCCTATTGACCTCACATACCCAAGTGTGGGTTAAAGATTATATCGGAGGAAAATAAGGAGGGCAGATATAAGCTTTTGCTAGTGGCACCTTGGGAACACCTATATGTTCTTGTATGCAATTTCTCTGTATTATTTGTTTAAGCATGAGGTCATGGATGCTTATAAACATATAATTTTCTTTGTGTTTGTATATTATAGTTTTGTGTATATAGAATTCAGTTGAAGCATACCAAGGTAAGTGATTGTGTTTCAAGGTTATGTGATCTGGTTTACTATATTGCTAACTTTGTCTTAGATCCAAGTATATACATTTTAAAGTTGAACACTGGTAGGATGGTAATAACTTCTGGCTTCTGTATGGTACCTAGTGTGTCAGATTTCAATCGCTAAAGGGTGAAAACGATCAATATAGTCATAAGCTCTCTCTTGGCTGGACATTTCTACTTTACTAATCTGTATGATTAATTGAAGGAAAGGAGGGGTTAGCAATTGCCCTATAAAATGTTGTACATATGGGTAAGAATGTTCAGTCATATTATAGCACAATTAATGGCATGAATTTCTTTGACCAACAAACTTTTAAACCTCGGTGGGGCCTTAGATTTTTCGCCTTTAGGCATTCTCACATATTGAGGGGTCGGGGAAATCATGAATAATGTGTCATTTAAAGCTTTGTTGTAATACCCAAATGTCTTTGATGAGAGCTCGTGTAAAGCTTGATCTACTGTTTTGGAATCGGTCATATTCATAGACTTAATTATGTCATGCTGATTTGGGGCAATTTAGTCACAGTTTATAATTTTGAATTTAGAAAACTCCATACTTCTCAACATTATTCTGTGGTTTTTATAGCTCATTCTCTGTCTGTCTATCACATTAGAGCTGCATTTTCAAACTTGTTTTAAGAGTTTTTTGTTATGCATTAGTTTATTGTTAAAAAAAGTTCAGTGGTTAGCTGTGTCCTTGCTAACTAGGATTTGAAGCTCTGGATGGGTTTAACATGTAAACACATAATGTAATCCAGCTAGTGACTGCTATAAAATAATAGCAAGAAGTTGGTGCAATTCCCCCAAATTACAGGAAAAATACTCCAATTATAGTGAAATTTGGGGAGCTGCCGAATTGATTCCCGTCTTATTTGGTTGGTCTATAACAACTATACAAAAACATATCCACACACAATGCACATCCTAGTTCTATGATAGCTTGAACGTGATGTGCAGTTAGTGAAGGTGCAATAGTTAACTATGTCAACCACTGTGTTAGCTTGTTAATATTTGCGAACTAAAATCTATCAATTTTGATGAATATAAATAAATTCACAAAACTCTAGCTGATAATATATGTGTGTATGAGAGTGGGACGCCATCTAGCCCCTACATTCTACATCTTTTGCTACTTGCTAACGTGGTGTTCTATGACTCTTTTAAAGTAAATATACAAACATTTTAAGTTTCCAAAATTATCCTTCTATTTCAAGAATTTTTTTGAAGCTAGCAATCTAAATCTCCAAATTTCGAAAGGAGTCATTTCGAAATTTGTAAAAAGTCAGGAGTCCCGAGAAGGGACACATTTCGGGACAAAAGGAGTATTAATTATGAGTTCTACCCAAAAATTATTTGTTGCAGTAATTTGATTATGAAGTTTCTGAATTATGAGGGAGGTCCCTAGGATGTAGAACAATTATTGTGGTCTTCTTTCAAATTTTGTCAAACACATGCTCCTCTGGACAATAAAATAGACAGAAAATGCAAAGCATTACATAGTTGTGAGTTTTACTTTTAACTGCTCTTTATAAATTTTTTTATTGTTTCTTTGTTTTATATATGTTGCTTTGAAGTGAGACTTCTATTTTTCTTAATTTAATTTTTTCATCTTCACCTTGAAGTTTTATTGATAATCTAACATGATCTTCTCAATGGACTTCCAGTGTTGCATTATTGAAGCTTGCTGAGATGGAGTATTGTGGCACAACAAGGTACATAATGTATCCCAATGTTTGTGGCTTTTTTTTTTTGTTTTTTCATGGATAAAAGTTTTTTTTTGTGCGGGTTTAACTAATCAATTGGTTCTTAAAATGCCATTTTATTAACACTTAATCAACTACTGAAGTGGTTTGGCTTTACAAAGGGGATGTTCTAATTGTTGCAATATGGTGATACTCTTATAGGACTCTTGATCTCTCTTCCTGATATCTGATATCTGTGCTAGGAGAACCCTTCACACATATGGAGATACACTTGTGCTATTTTGCCATTACTAATAATAAAACAAAAGGGGTTGGCTTAGTAAATTTTATTTGGGGTTAGGAGTTCCCATTTTCTTATCCATGCTGTGTACCTTATGTGTATATATATATATATACATATATATGTATATTCGATATGAAATAAAATAATAAATTAAATAGTATATGGATATACACATAATACATTTATACTCGAATACATATACATTTATATATATGTATTATGAAATCATTTTATGCTCTTGGAAGGTTTTGTTATCACACTTCCTTGTTTTACAGAATGTCATGAAAAATTGTTGACAATTTTGCATTGGCAATTTGATGCAGTTTTTTTATAAAGCTTTTGATTGAGAAGAAATATGCCTTGCCATATCGTGTACTTGATGCAATGGTTGCTCATTTTATGAAATTCCTCGAGGATTCAAGGACAATGCCAGTAATCTGGCATCAATCGCTTCTTGCATTTGTGCAAAGGTTAGTATTTGTTTTTTCTCTTGGCTACTTACCTTACACGATGGAGAGTAGAGGAGCATTGGTATCTTAGAAAGATTCATCATGGAAGTGAACTTAATGGCTTTCCACTAATAAGGAGACTGGCTGCCCTTGTTTCATCATTGCTTTCTCCCGTGTCATCCTGTCGTACAAGCACAAATTTTACAGAAGTCATTTGTACAGATGATGCGCAAATTTTCTTGAACTCAACTAAGTCTTTTCCCTACTATGTGTTGGCTCCAAAATGATGTTATTTTCCAGAAAAAGAAAAGTTTTGGAAAAATGACAGAAGAAAGCTTTCCATCTGTTGTTTTAATATCATGTTGTCGTTATAGTCATTTTTTGGGTGCTGGTGTGTTCAAATGTAATCTTTTCTGACGGGTTAAGAGCATGTAATTCCCATCGGATAGATGGTAAATTAGTACAAACTGTACTTTCCTACTCCAGGCAAGTTGTGCAGTTGTAGGTATGAATGCGGACTATACTATAGCCTTGCCTTGTCCTCCGTACAAAGTCAGGATCCAGGGAAATTCAAACACTCCTATGATCTGTTTTGCCCCCTGGCAAGATGGAGTCCCACAGTGTGAGGTTCCATTGCATGTCATGACTCATGAGCACTAGGCTAAGTGGCGCTTGACCAAGTATGCAACTTGTGGTCAGAGGAGTCCGAAGGGAACTTGCCTCCCAATTTTTTATATTGGGGTCCTTCAAGGATGCACAATGTTCTTAAGGTTTCAATTTCCTTTGCCACTAAGAGTACATGGAATCTGCTGTGCTTAGGGCCCCACATTCCTTCCCTAATGAGAAAGGGTCCACTGCCTACCAGTCTTGATTTGTGATTTGGGGTCCTTCAAGGGGTACTCATGCCTTTTAAGGTCTCAGTTTCCTTTGCCACAATAATTTGTTGTCCTTAGGCCCTTGCTTTCATTCCCCAACGATGGAAGGGTCAACTACATGCCTCAGTAGTCTCAAACTCCTTGTTGTCCTGTCACCGCGCCACGCAACTGGGGGCTCGTGTGGAACCTTCTCTCTCTGGTATTAGAGTGGAAGAATAAAACATATGTCATGGTCATCTAATAATATAAGCATACCTACTCTGCAAAGACAATCATAGTGCTACACAGAAAGGCTTGGTCTCCAGCTATATGAAAGCGATCATGATTTCTAAAATGGTTAAAACCCAAGCCACAGAGAACTATTAGGTTTTCACTTGCAATTGTCAGGGATTCCAACCCTAATCTCCGACCATGGCAAAAGACCATTTGTTTACATAAACCAGCAAGTTTATGGTATCCACTGTTAACCCATCCTCTTACTAGTTTTCTCAAGGAGTTACTCATCCTGCCTGACAATTGAAAGCAGTCCATGAAGCAAAATGGTGAAGAGAGAAAACAGGCATTAATGAATATTTAGTTATGAAGTTGGCCTTACAATCAAGCTAGGAAGCACGGACACGCCTTGATACGTGTTGGACACGCCAAAAAACATGTATGATATCAAATTGTCATCAATTGATTACAAACAGTATGGTCGGAAAGCTACATATACGAGTGTACAGATTTATATGATGTTGACTTTTGTCCTGTACATGGTAGAACTGATAAGCAATATACTGGCTAATTTTCAGTGAAAAAGGATATGCATAGATTGATACATATCCCGTGGAATTTGCATCGTTGAGTTCCTTATTTCTGTCTACATGTTTTTCGAACATTCTTAGCGTTGAAATGGCATTTTTAATATCATTCACTGCATTAAATTAATTTATAGTTGCTTTTTCCCTCATAGGACATAATTTGATTTTCTTTTTCTTCAGGTACAAAAACGAATTGACGAAGGAGGATAAAATTAACCTCAACACTCTAGTTGATACACAAAGGCATAAATTAGTATGGGATCGACTCATTTCTCATACTGTGCTAATTCCTTTTGACAATATTTTGTGGCAATACCCAACCGATTTGTCCCTCTTCAAATGCAGGTTACACCTGAAATATGCAGGGAGCTAAATAGTAGCCGCAATCGTGGTGAGAAGGAGGACGATCTTATGTCAATATATATCCTTCGCTTTTATGGAAATTTCATATATATATAGATATATTGGTCCTATATTTCTAATTTTGATGTTTCTTGTTTTCTTGGGTTATATATATACACACATAATTGTCAAATGTGTACCATTCCTATACTCAGCTTGTACTTAAATTTGCTAAATAAAATTAGAAACAGGAAAAATAAAAATCTGCAAAAAAGGTTGTGGCAATATATTATAGTGTGTTTTGTGTTGGCATACTTCCAAGTTTGAAGTTCCACTTTTCAACTTATGGTGCATCCTAGTTTTGTAAGATTTATTTAAAGTTAACTATGTCAGGTTCTGATTGGTCATGGAGAAATTGACATCTAAAATACATGAGAAAATCATTTATCTTGTCTTAATTTAAATAGTGGCATCATGTGTTGTATAATATAGCTAACATGATATGTATTACTTGATAACTGATTACTACTATTATTTTGATCCAAGTCTTTCATGTATGTCCTCTATTGCGCATATATATATATATATATTTATATACACAATGTGTCTTATTTCTCTGCATTGTGACAGATGAAATCAATTTTGCTTTCAATTTTCAGAATTTTCCATCAATAAATGCTTCCTTTTTCTTTTCTTTTTTTACATTTAAAACCCTTTTATATGTGGCTTACGGAACTATAGTATTTAGTTTGCAAGGTGTCATATTATTTCATATCCGGTTCTAAACGACTTAGTCTTAGAGCATGACTAGAATCTGGTAGAAAAGGCGGCGATGAAGAGTGTTGCAAGGTTGAATGTGGTTTGTTGAATCCTATTAATTATTGACAGTGGATTTGATAGATGCCCCTTTATTGTGGAGGAGTTGTGTTTACCGTTCTCGTGTTAAGACCACGTGGGTTGTGCACAAAAAAATTATGGTTACTTGTGGTTTAATCTGCGGTGCCTAATTTGTCTTTTCATGGTGTCCATGTCATCATAAACTCACAATATTTTGACGAATGCAAGAAAATTGTTTTTGGTAGTCAAGATCCCTTGTACATTTGATTGACTAAGCCTGATTATTTTTCCCTAAAAAATTTTCAATGTACCGCAGTACCACAAGTTCGTGTTTGATATTTGAATCACCAGTTAGTTATTTTCCAGATGTTTTATATATCTGTGCATGAAATCATATAGTCAAAGCTTTTCTTTAGTTATTAGGAGTTCGGATATTTATAGTTAATTAATTTCTATGAATTCAGTCTTTAACCAGGAAAAAAAAGTAGTAAAAAAATTCAGGCATTATCATTTTCTTTAAACTTCATATATTTTTGTTTCCTTGACGCTGTATCACCATCTCCTATTTATGTGATTAATAAAACTAGTAAAGAAGATTGGTTTGATATACCGGACGTGCCGATGGAAGAGGACTGAATGTTCATTTACAGCAGTTACTCTTGATCTTACAGGTAAAATTTTCTTTACAATTGTAGCTCTATATCTATCTCTTAATTAAAATAAAAACATAAAAAAATAAAGAAAGAAAATTCCAGCCATGACACTGTATTACTTTCATGATGCTATTTGTGCTGTATATGTATCACTAAAAGGTTTAAGTTTCATTTACAGGTATTTCCATGGTTTTCCGGGGAAGGAACCTGCACTCTTTAGAAATGCACTTATGGGGATGCTTTTAGTTGAAGGAATTGTGAGCAAGCAGATCTGGTTCGAGTCAGATGTTGGTTTCTACTACAGTTGATCGTTATAGATTATACCTTGCCGGTTTATTGCATTTGGTTGGCTTCTTATTTCTTGTTATGGAATAGTGTTTCTGAGAAGCTTTCAATTTTTGACAAATGACATTCTTTTTTATTTTATATAATCCAATATTTGACAAATGATATTCTATTTTATTGGGTGCCCTAAACTTGCCATGGAGTTGAGTTCCTAACATGGCTCAAGTAGCTTGATGGGAGCAACTTATTTTTTAGTTTGAAAACGAGAGCCATATCAAAGTAACACCATTTTCTTCAGAATTTTATTTCCTCCAAACCGGACAAAATTATGGTCTGAGATTTGACGCCTCTATTAAGGAGAAAGGATTGCGGGGAAGGAAGGTGACAGGATAGGTGGGCTGATTTTCTTTTTTGGTTGATTATGTCTTGGCTTAAAATAAATTTTTCGGATCATCTCATTTTGAAATGATTGTTTTTGTGTATACAGATTCTTTTCGTATTTTCCCTGAAACGAAGTTGTGTGTTCACCCAGTGCTAAACAGGGGAACAAAGGCTGGAATAAATAGAGGGGAGAAGGAATAGAAACCTGAGAGTGGAAGGTAGCTCGTCAGAGAGAATGACAGGAACCCCTATGCAAAAAAAAAGTCATAGTGGAAGATAACATAACAACACACTCTTGTATTGCAATTTGATACTACATTGGAAATCTCCTATATCAAGTACGAGCATACAGAAAAACCTATAATTAAAGATTGGCGAGTTTTTATTGAAAATAGGAGGGTGGAGTGCCAGCTTAATTTTTAAATGTTTTTTACATGGTAGTGCTGGACTAGCCCACTCTTACATTGTCCTCCTTTTCTTTTTCTTTTTCTTTTTCTTTTCCCTTAATTTACCAAACAATAAAATTCGAACTCGGGCACATAAGGAAAAGGAGATTGGGCTCAAGTATTTTATAGAGATGCTTGCTACACTTGAAATTTGTACCATAAGAGATGCAATACCCGACTTACAACTCTTTTTAAAAGCACTTTTATTTTAAAAGATTAGTTTTAGGTTTGGTAACCTTTAAAAACACTTTTAATAATTACTAATTTTAGTTCACTAGAAATTTTGAATGAAATTAAAATTTGTAGACCTAATGGCGTAACCTTAATTCCCATTCTCAAAGGGGATTGGAATGGTTTCAGCCGGGATTTCGGCAAAAAGTGTGTGTGAGTTGTGTGTCTTGCCAATGTTATATATATATAATAAAAAAAAAAGAAAAAGAAAAAGAAAAAAGAGGGAAGGTTTTTAGTGGTTCTATATTTTATGTAACTGTTTTTTCTTATAAAATTTTATCCTTTTAATTTTTGTTAAAAAATAATTTTACCCCTTCTTTTATAAAGTTGTAATTACCAAATATGGTAACATTCTATTAAAGAACATTCTTGCAAAATTAGTAAGAGAAATGCTTTAAAAAGTATTATTACCAAACGGACTAAAAAATACTTTGATTGTCAAAACACTTAATAACCATTAATAACAATTTTTTTGGGAGCTCTACTACAAAATATGCTCTACTGTCTAATAGGATCATTCCTTTTAAGTGCAAACAATTATTTAGGGGTCACGTCCACAAAGGGGAGCCGCCCTGCATGGTCTCATAAATTAGTGGGCGCAAAGCCCCGGACAATATGATTATCGAAAAAAAATAAAATAATATATGCTCAAAAGATTTAACACTGGCAGTGTTTCATATACAGTGCTTCTTCATACATAGTTTGTATTTCACACTGAAACCAATTTGTCTATTGAATTTTATTTCTCTCTACTCTTTTTTGATTGCCGAAAAAGAAAAGAAAGTAATTGATTGTCTGGTTGATCATTAATTTTCACATGTGCAAGTTTTCTTCTTCTATATAGTTTTGTTTGTCATCTGCCCATTAATAATATTTGTTGTACCACCATCTTGAACACCAGTACAAGCTGATCAGTAATCCCCACTCATGTATATATCTATATATATATATGTATAATTTTCTTGCATGTATAATAAAATTATGGAGATATATTATAAGAATGTCAACTCTTAAATATTAATAAAAAAATGAAAATTGTAAAACCCCCTTCCATGCCAAAGAAGTAGGTAAAACAAGCATTCCTTTCCATAATCACTCCACTTCCTCTCAGGCGGAAAATTCTTGTTTGGATATCAAATCTCTCCATGTGGAAATACACTTACAATTCAATGTGATCTGATTTTGCAAGGTTGGCAACGATACTTCTAGATATGGTATGTGCTATGTTAGGTTGCAAAGTTAGAATTGCTTTTCTTTTTCCATTTTTTTGTGGGTAAAAGTCCCACTATCTTCATTATAACATATACTTTTCATTGTTCTTCCTTTTTGACACTCATTACAATATACACGACACATACTTATGGTCATTGATACGCCACGTTGAAGGATTATATAACCTAATTAGGCTTATCAAAGGATTAATTGATCGTTTAGATACACACATACACTAACACAAACATGTCTAACCAGAACGGCGGATGGAAGTATATACATGTTTGAGTTCATCATTCTCTTTCAATTATTTGTCCAAATTTGTCCAATTTGGATTGTGGAAGTTGGCAGTCAAGTGGGTGAGGCATGCAATGATGTCAGTTGTATATTGGTAGGGTGTGGAATATTTGAATTAATCAATAGGAGGGTGACACGCATAGCAATTCTTGTGAAAGTGACCTAAACTGTCCCTCCCAATTTGTTCAATCTATGTCACTGTTGCTCTATTGGGACCTCTCTCTCTCCTCTTGACACGTTTGTTGAATTATTCTCTTTCTCCAGCAGTTGCGAGAAATTAGGGTTTTAAAGTTGTTTCATATGAAAGCAGCTTGATTTCAACCTTGCAGGTTCAGTCCAATTTCATTGTGTCCTTTCTTTCAGAATTTTGCGAGTTAAAAGAGTTTGATTGCAAAACTAAAGGCGTCTTGTGGGCCGTTTAGAGAATCTGAAATTGTGGGTATGAGTCTGAGAGCTAGAAAACCAATTTCTTTTATTTGGTGCCATTCTCAGAAAGTTGATTCTTTAACCCATTCAATACTTCAATCTGATTAAGCTATTTCTGTTTCCTTCTGCCTCTCTGGTCCATGTTCCCATTATATTGCCAACTGACTCAATCCCCTCGAATACGTTGATTAAGTTTTAAACAGGTTGAACATGTTTTAATTCTAACTTTAATCTACCATCTTGCTTTGTTTGCAAAGTAATGAAAGAAAAAGAACTGACAGTATTGAATCAACATATATAATCGTTTTGTATTAGAATATGTCAGCATATCTTTGCATATGTGATAATTGGTCTTGGCCTGCAAGAGCTTGAAAGGCCAAGCTGGTGTCAACCCTTTGTTTGTTTAGGGCATTCTGCTATATTTTACAGCTGAAATCTGGGAGTGTTCTAGACCTAAGAGTTGGCAGGTTGATTGTGTGGTTGAAACATCTCTCGGAATTGAGAGTTGCTTATATTCTATATGTATATAAAATATATATTCACCATAGGCGCATACTTCATGTGTCCAGTCCCCCATTTCTTTTTTTTTTTTTTCATGTTCTCAGATTCGGACTCTGGCCTTTACTTTTTCTAGCTGAAATCCTGGCGATGTTTTAGACCTTTTATATATTATATGTGTATATATATATTTGTATGTTATGTGTGTTGCTTGAATTTTTTTTTCTCTCTGTGGTGATGCATTTTTTGTGCCATGAGTCTCCAAGTACTTTATTATAAGGACCAAATACCAATAATTGCAGCACATTTTAGTGAACAGAACAATGAAGAGTCCAACATAAAATTTAATGCTAATTGTAGAAACTTCTCAGTAAGCTATTAAAGAGTTTGATGTTTTTTTTTTTTTGAATTTGACGTAGTATGATATTGAATTTTCTCACTTGATCCTGTTTTTAGACAATTTTGCAAGAAGCAGAAAGAGCAATATCATGGTTTTTGTGTGAAATTGTTGGTTCATAGTGTGTGATAACTTGTAATTATTGTGCTTGTTACATTTATAAACCTTCCCATTTTTAATCATCCTCTGTCTCTCTCCCTCTCTCCCTCTCTCTTTCTCCTATGTAATCATCTGCTTGCCTGTGTGTGTGCGCACTAGCAGTTGGCAGCTGTGTGCATACTGATGTGTGGTTCTAATTACATTGCAAAAAAGGGTATGTAAATTTCAAACTTAGCACAACCACGAGAAATTAAATCCTAGAATTCACACTGAAGACGAGGAGTATTCAGTATAAAAATAGAAAATTGAATGTCATGTAATGCACGAGTACCTAATTTTGGAAGCATTTTCCACTTCAAGCTAGTGGTGTACCTTGTTTCATGTGTATTTGCTTGTTTCTTTACATGCTCTTATTGATTGTATAGGCTGTAAATGGTAGGCGGAGCGTTGTTGTTATGTGTTCTAAATGTTTGAAGTGTGGTTCTTTGAATTAGATGACAGAATATAATACTTTATATGTGATGTATACGTCCTTTGATTTGTCATGCTCCATAGGTTTTAGACAAGTAATGCATGTAGTCTTCTCTGTTTCTATTTTTCTTCTTTTAGTTATGAAATTCACGTCATGGCCGGAACAATCAGACCTCAGAAGTTCCCAAATTCAGGCATGTAGTCAAGAATGACGAACACCTGCGAACCAAATGGTCACGAATGACGTAAAATTTAGTCGAGCAAATAGCCACGACTATCATACGGTTTAGGGCTTTAGAGAGATCATATCCACACCTCTGAATCACACGTCGTGATTGGAACCATCACAAGTAAGAAATTGCTTATATTCAGATATTCAATCAGGAATCACGAACACTTACGAACCAAATGATGATGAATGTGTCTAATCAAATAATGACGAGTATCATGGGGTTTTAGGGTTTAAAGAAAGAAACCGATAATATGCCGTTGGTTCAATAGTTTTTAATTTAAACCATTGTACTGTTGATATTAAACCAAAAAGTACGAGTATAATAGCATTTTAGGATTAGTTTTTAATGAAATGTAGTATTAAACATCCGATTAGTTGTTGGATTAGTTATTTTGTTTAAAGCAAACCAAACGCTCAGGAATAACCAATATCTGCTAACGAAATAGGTACGAGTATCATAACGTTTTAGGGTTTTATAGAAATATAATATCAAAGATTCGGTTGGTTGTTGGATTAGATTGTTTTGTTTGAAGTTTGCAGTATGCTGATCCATTACACACAAAAAGTTAGTTTAGGGAGCGAACGTGCCATTTAGTTGGTTATTGGTTTAATTTTTTTAAAGTTGTCTTGTAATTTTTGGGAAGGTTTTAGGGTTTTCAGAAATTTTCTTGAAGGTTTCACAAAGTGAATATCTGCATTTGGTTTCATTTTCTTCTATTGTTTTGCAATTTTTTCTTAGTTAAAATAATTCGGTACGATATCGCTGTACCAAATAGCCACGGGTATCGTTAGTTTTTGGTTTTGGTTTCAATCCGCCGTCAACCCGTACTATCATGATAAATACATCAACCATGCGTTCGTATAACGCACAGTTTAAACAATTCTTAACTGTATTCTTAACTGTATTCGAGGATCTTCCACTTAGAATGATAAAAAACATTTGCGAAACTGTACGACTAACATCTGCCAACCAAATAGTTACGAGTATCATAAGGCTTCAGGGTTTTAGATAAAGATAATATCAACATTCCGTTGAATGTTGGTTTTATTTTCTTCGTTTATTCTCCAATTTTCTTGTACTTTAAACCATTCTGTACGAATATTGATAACTTCACAACACGTTGTTTTGCAATTTTTGTGGAGTTTAATTTATTCCGAACTTGATATATAATTATGCACAATATAAGCTAGGTTTTCGTTTGGGTAAAAATGCTAATAACAAAGAATGAAAAGAGTAAGAAACAAAATGAGTAGTGAAATATTTATTCTTTGTAAAAGGGTGAACTAGACAGAGAAGGGATCTGTTTTTAACATGGTTTCACCTATTGTATTTATAACGTGAAAAATCAACTTCTAGAATAGTTATAGCTTTTCTAAAAATAGAATATTTATCTGTTTTTTAAGAAGGTATAAATCGTAAAATTATCTTTTTTTGAAAGACATTTAAAAAAAAATAATAATTAAATAAAAGTTAAACACGAACTATTTCAAAAAGTACAAAACCTTCGAAAAATAATATATATATATATATTATTTTTTTTGTGGGTAAGAAAATAATTTTTTGTTTGGTTAAAATATTTGAATAATATGGCTGTCAAAATTTGATTTCGAAGGTAGCTGTGCAGTTGGTTCAGGACTATCATGAATATGGCTGTCAAACTCATTTCCGTAGAAACCTACCCTAACACCTCTTTTAACTTTTAAAGAGGGAGAGTGACTCTCTGGGGTTAACGTTGTTGCTTCTTTTCCTTCATTGGGATGAATTAAACAATTCCTCCATCAATGTAAGAAATACACGTCTTATACACAACATGGAGTGCAAGCTGATGTTCTTTATATTATATTAGGCTATGTTTATTTTGAAGTAAAATATATTTTAGAAAAATTATATTTTTTTAGTTAAAATATTTTTTTATTTTTATTTTTTCGGTGTTTGACAAAGGTTTACATTAAGATTGAGGTCGAGTCCACCAGGCGGAACATGTAAAATAATTTGCCGCAAATTGATGGATAAGTTATTTTTGTTAAATTTTAATATTTTTTTTCGTAAATATTTTATGACAACCAAATATCCGAAAATAAAAAAATATTTTTTGAAAAATATTTTACATTCAAACAAACGAAGTCGATATAATTTTTTCTTCCCCTTAGTGTCCTAATTGGAGATATGTTCTACCTAATCTTTTGTGCTTTGTACTTTGTACTTTGGTTGGAGGGAAGGATTGATCAGGGATGAATAAAAGAGAGGATAGACGAACGTTTTTGTATTTAGTTGGAGAGAAGGAAAGAGACGGAAAAAGTAAGGAGAGATGAAGCATCCCTCGTTACTTTATGTTTTTATATTTGCTCAAAATTGGGTGGAAGAGAGGAAAGAGAGAAGGAGTAACCACCAACAAATATATAATTTTTAACTTTTAATCTTTAAAAAAAAAAATTGTGATGGATATATATATATATATATAATGAAGGTATATTGGTAAAATGAATAAAAAAAAACTATTTTTCTTTCATTCCAACCAAAAAAAAAAAAAAAAAAAAAAAAATGTGTCACCCCAATACCCCATCCATCTTTTTCACTATCCATTTCATTCAACCAAACAAAAATTAAAGCAGACACATTCCCTTTTCTAAGATGCCTCATCCATCCCTAGTACCCCTCTCCATTTCATCCATTTTTCCAACCCTCCAACCAAACGAAACTTTAAATTTTAATTAATTGACATATAGAATTAATACTTTTTTTTTTTTTTGGGTGAACAAATTAATACCTTATTGATAGTCCTAATGCATGGTTATGGACTAATAAAACAAATATTTATTAAATTATTTAGACTCCTAATAGCATTTTTTAATTGAATTTGGAAAGAAGAGAACCTAAGCACCAAATTATAAAGTCGTGAACAATCCCTCATTCCTCGTAGCCACTAATCAGTATGAGATTTTCTAACAATTGACAAAGTACCTAACAAAAAAAAAAAAAAAATTGATAAAATGAAAGAAATGTGTATGAATATAGGTAGAGAGAGAGACGGAAGGGTGCAATTGGTCGGTGGACTCATGAGGATGCAGCAAGTGGCATGGGCCGGATATAGTTCGCTGGAACGGGATCGGGTCGAATAATTGAAGTATGGCCCATGACAAAGCACCTCGGAATGGGCCGAACCTGGAGGATCCACCGTGGAAGATCAGACCCAGAAGGAAGAAAACTTTTGAATATAGGCCCAATGTAATCAGTTAACAATAATAATTGTAATGGTCTATAAATAGACTATTACAGGTGGATAAGGGAGGAGAATTTTTTGGATTCTATTGAAGGGTAAGAATTCTAGAGAGAGAAAGAAGAAACGAATTCTTGCATCTTCAATTGGCGCCGTCTGTGGGAAACGGAGAAGAAGATCAATTCGAGCCCGATCAGTACCATATTAGTTCAATCAAGTTTGTGAGTACACAGTGTGATTTCTGGAAGTTGAATCCAGATCAGTGAGATTGTAGTTTGTTCAGAGAGAATTCTTGCTTATTGTGGATTCTAAGGCATTTGCTTCGGAATGACGCAATTGTGATTTGCTCAATTGCAGTCAGATCCGGTGAGTTCAAAGCTAGAAAAGTTCAAATCTAGCAAACAGTGATCACGATTCGGTGAAGTTAAGCCCAGATCTAACGGAGTTTGCATTGGTGACGCTTAGATCTGTTTCGAAGTTCGTAATTCATGCCTTTGCTTCAATCCGGAATCATGATAGGGGGTGACAACTCCAATACGGTTGAGAACGTCCAGCAAGTGAAACTTGATGAGTTGATGAACATGGTCGAAGCTTTCCGGAGGGAAAATGCGGATCTAAGGACTGAAATGCAGCGTCAAGAAGCTCCAGTAATTCCACGACCACTCCCGGTAGGAGAAGAAGGTGCACGTACCGATGCAGCACATCACGGTGAGGAGGTCGGAAACAATCTAGTAGATCCTCATCACGAGGAAATCCGGCGAGACGGTTCGTCGCCAAATCTTCGTCGTATTGATGATCATGAAGGATCAACTTACATGGATCCACAGTGTGAGCAAATCAGGCGAAACGAAGCAATGACTTTTGATCCACATCGAGAAACGCTCAGCCGAGGTGAAGCAACAGAGTTGAATCGTCACAAAGCTATGCCTCCATGGCGCAAAGACTTTGTTAAGGACAGGTCATTCGATCCGACCTATCGGCCTTCCATGACGACGTTCGACTATCATAGCTCAGAGAGGAGATCAGTAGACCAGAGAGCAACCGCAGGGTTCTAGAGGGAAAATGAAGCACTCTGTTCAGCAGCTCGAACAGTTGATTCACCGTTCACCGATGAGATTCTGAATGCTCCGAGTCCGAGGAAATTTTTCGTACCCGTTTTCATTCTGTTCGACGGAACGACCGATCCGATCAATCACGTGTATCACATCCAGTTGAAAATGGCTCTAAACACTGAGAATGACTCTTTGATGTGCAAGTGCTTTCCTACGAGTCTGGCCGGACTAGCTCTGAATTGGTTCAAGAACCTGCCGAGGGGTTCAGTGGATAGTTTCTGAAGCTTGTGTGATCGGTTCATAAGCCAATACTATGGAAACAAGCGTCCAGCGAAAGATATTTCGAGCTTATTCACAATGAAGCAACATGCCGATGAGCGTCTCCAGGCTTTCCTAACCAGGTTTAACCTTACCAAGAGCATGGTTATTGAATGCCACCCTTCAACGGCAGTTCAAGCATTCATACTGGCCATGAACCGTGGCACCCCATTCCACACAAGCTTGGTGGTGAACACGCCGAAGACTATGGATGAACTTAACGAAAGAGCCGATGGATTTGTGTGCTTGGAAGAAGAAAAGGGGGCAAACGCTCGGAAGACATCCGTCATATCCACGGAAGAAAAGACCAAAGCAAAGATCAGGCAAAAACAGGTTCAGCCACAACGCTCCTCGTGGAAATCTGAGAAGAGGCCCAGAGAGGAAGAGCTGGTTACTCCATTGAAAGTTACCCTAGCAAGACTGTACCAAGAAAATAAAGATAAGTTCCGACCTCCTTTACCAATCAGACAACCTTTCGAACAGAGGGATCAGTCTAAGCACTATGCATTTCATTCTGATTTTGGTCACCAGACTAACGAATGCAGGAACCTAAGGAGACAGGTAGAGGTGTTGATAGCCAGAGGGGAGTTCGCAAGTTATATTCAAGGACCAGCGGTGGAACAGAACCGACCAATGGAGCACGTGAAGAAGAATCAGAAGTCGAATTCTCACAACACGCAACCAGTTCGAGTAATCAATGCAATTCACGGTCGGCCAGAACCTGCCGAGGAGTCAGATGAACTGCTTCGAACACGCCTTCACCAGGCACGGATGAAGAGAAGGATAGGCAGTGTAAACACTCTGCACCAACAGAGCGCATCAACGCAGATAAAGTTTGACGTAACAGACTTGTTGCGTGTTCAGATCCCTCATGAGGACCCGCTGGTCGTAAGTTTGACAGTGGCCAAATGCTTGGTGCGCAGAGTTCTAATTGACCCTGGAAGTAGTGCGAACATCATGCCAAGGGATACATTCGATCGGCTCGAGATCAAATAGGATTGGCTGAAATCCACCAGGAATCCACTACTAGGGTTTGATGGAAAGCGAGTGGAGTTCGTCGGTACGGTGGAGGTAGCGGTACATGCTGCCGAGAGGGTATTGATGGAAACCTTTGTGGTTGTTGAAATTCATCCCTCTTACAATCTTTTGATGGGCAGAGGGTGGATCCACAGAGTTCAAGGTGTTCATTCCACTCTGCATCAGGTAATGAGATGCCTGAGGCCAGACGGAACCAAAGTGATTGACATTCATGGAGACCAGGTTGCAGCTAAAGAATGTTATTCTGTAACACTGAAACATGCCGGAAAGGGGAAAGCTCCCATTCGTTCAGCAAGTCCGAGATAGCAATTACAGGAGCCTCCCTCCAAGCAGAGTGGAGAGGAGTAGCCAGTAGGCTTGACTGAGGAACCCCTGTTTGATGTGCATATCGATCAGTTCCGACCGGAACGGACAACCAGAGTGGGGGAACGACTCGTTGAGGAGGAAAAGCAGGAATTAGTTGATTTTTTGTCTCAAAACGCAGATGTGTTTGCATGGAGTCACCTAGACATGCCAGGGATCGATCCTTCTGTATCTTGTCACTCGTTGAACGTTAACCCCAATGTAAAACTTGTAAAGCAGAAGCAGCGACGGTTTACCCCCGAGCGCAACCGAATTATTACCGAGGAAGTTGACAAGTTGCTTGATGCGGGGTTTGTAAGAGAAGTGTACTACCCTGACTGGTTATCGAATGTGGTCGTTGTGCAGAAGAAAAATGGGAAATGGCACGTATGCATTAATTTCACCAATTTAAACAAAGCCTGTCTGAAGGATAGCTTCCCGCTGCCAAAGATTGATCATATGGTGGATGCAACTACTGGATATGAACGCTTGACCTTTTTAGATGTTTATTCAGGTTATAATCAGATCCCTATGGACCCCGCTGATGAAGAAAAAACTTTTTTCGTTACCGAACGCGGGACGTATTGCTACAAAGTTATGCCATTCGGACTGAAGAACGCCGAGGAAACTTACCAAAGACTTATTAGCAAAATTTTTAAGGAACAAATAGGGAAGACAGTGAATCTTACATTGATGACATGGTGGTAAAAAGTAAGAAGAAAGCTGATCATGTGAAGCATCTGCGAGACGTGTTTGATGTGTTGAGGCGATATGGAATGAAGCTCAATCCGACCAAGTGCTCATTCGGTGTAAGTTCAGGCCAATTCCTAGGGCACGTGGTTAATCTTAGAGGCATCGAGGCAAGCCCTGCCCAAGCCGATGCTCTGACTAAGAATGCCGAGCCGACGACAGTCAAAGAAGTGCAAACACTTACGGGACGGATTGCTGCACTGAGCCGGTTCATTTCCAAATTGTCAGATCGATGCAAACCATTTTTTGACACAATACGAAGCCACGGCAGGCAGGTTTGGGGGGATGAACAGCGCTTGGCATTAACTGCTCTGAAAAAGTATATGCAGAACCTTCCGGTACTGTCAGCTCCAGAATCGGGCGAAAAGCTAATTTTATATCTCGGAGTATCCAGCATCGCGACAAGTGGCGTTCTGATCCGCTACGCAGAAGGGAAGCAATATCCAGTGTTCTATGTTAGCAAGACAATTACAGAGGCCGAAAGACGTTATTCAAAGGCAGAGAGGGTGATACTCTCGCTAGTGCATGCGAAAAGAAAGCTCAAGCATTATTTTGAATCTCATCCTATCATCGTTCTCACCACTTTCCCTATCAGAATAATCCTGCACAAACCAGATCTCTCAGGAAGAATGACGAAGTGGGCCATAGAGTTAATCTCATTTGATATCACATACGAACCTAGAACAGCAGTCAAAGGGCAAGTGGTGGCAGATTTTTTACTAGAATGTGATTCAGAGGACGTGGAGGAAGATCTTTGTGGTTGCTAATTAATGGAAACTCTTCGTTGATCGATCCTCAAATCAGATGGGTGCAGGCATTGGGATCAAACTGCAGACGCCAGAAAGTACAGCCTTAAGCCAAGCGCTTCGGCTTGAATTCGGAGTCACGAACAATGAGGCAAAGTATGAAGCGTTGCTGGCAGGAATTAAGCTTGCCAAGGAGCTTAAGGTCAGGAATTTGAATGTTTTTAGTGACTCACAGTTAATTGTTCGGCAGGTGAGGGGTGAGTATGAAACCAAGGATGAAACGATGGAAACATATCGTTCTGCTGTTATGCGGGAGGCCAAAAACTTTAAAAAAAATTAAATTCATTCAAATTCCAAGGGAGTATAACGAAGATGCCGACCGGCTAGCATGTAGTGCCTCGGGTTCTGGAGAAACATTGGCAAGGGTGATTCCAATGGGAATATTAAACCAGCCATCCATTTTCGAAGAACCTTTAGGCTCGGATGCTTGGCAAGTGAATGTTATTCCATATGAGCCAAGCTGGATTGATCCGATCATAACTTACATCCGAGATGGTACTCTGCCTGAGCAAAGAGATGAGGCTAGGAAAATCAAAGTGAATGCTGCGAAGTACGCCGTAGTGCATAACCAGTTGTACAGAAGATCTTTTTCCGGACCGTACTTAAAATGTGTTACCCCCACAGAGGCTCGGCAAATACTACAAGCTATTCACGAAGGTGTATGTGGAAACCACTCAGGGGGGAGATCTTTAGCGCACAAAACAATGGCGCAAGGGTACTTCTGGCCGAACATGTCGCGAGACTCGGAAGAATTGTCCAGAAGGTGCGATAAGTGCCAAAGGTTCGGACCACTGATTCACCAACCACCTGAAGACTTGCACGTAATGGCCACACCATGGCCTTTCGCACAGTTGGGGATGGATGTAGTTGGTCCTCTACCAACTGCCAGAGCTCAGAACAAGTATGTGCTGCTGGCTACAGATTACTTTACTAAGTAGGTGGAAGCAGAGCCATATCCGAGCGTTACTCAAACTCATGTAAGACGATTCATTTGGAGTAATATTATTTGCCGATTTGGTGTTCCGAGGTCAATCGTCATGGATAATGGGACCAACCTTGACAGTAAGCAAGTAAGAGAGCTGTTGGAGGAATATGGAATTAATCAAAAGCTGGTGGCAGCGAGTCACCCACAGGCCAATGGACAGGCGGAAATTACAAATAGAACAATCTTTACTTGTATCAAGAAGAAGCTAGAAGAAAAGAAAGGAAGGTGGTTAGATGAACTACTGAACGTCCTATGGGCCTACAGAACGACCCCAAGACGACCGACCGGAGACAGCCCATTCACCATGGCGTATGGTACCGAGGCAGTTATACCAGTCGAGCACTTAGTGCCGACTGTTCGAAAGTAAAGCACAGAGACTTTAGACCAGGTGATCTGGTTCTGAAAAAGAAGGTGGGGATAGTCAAAAAGATGATGCCACCATGGGAAGGCCCATACAGAATTGTAGAAGCTATAGGAAAGGGGGCATATACCTTAGAAACCATGGCCGGAAGGCTGGTTAACAAGCCTTGGAATGCTACTTCTCTGAAGAGGTATTATCAATAAAAAGTTGAGATTCAATACTTAATTTTGTTCATTTTCAATTGAACACAGTCGAATGTACAAGTTTCTGAGATTTATAAAGATTATATTCCTCTTTAAAAGGTTGAGCAAAGTAAGTGGCAGCTGGCACTATGAGCCGAACGCCAAACACTTGCCAAAAAAAAAAAAGAGGGCCAAGTGGCAAGTGGCATTCTAGCCGAGCGCCAGGCGCCTGAGCAAAGTAAATGGCAGCTGGCGCTATGAGCCGAACGCCAAACACTTGCCAAAAAAAAAAAAAAGAGGGCCAAATGGCAAGTGGCATTCTAGCTGAGCGCCAGGCGCCTGAGCAAAGTAAGTGGCAGCTGGCACTATGAGCCGAACGCCAAACACTTGCCAAAAAAAAAAAAAAAAAAGTTTACATAAAGAGCTTGATCAGAAGTCGGCCATCTCATTAATAAAGTTCAAAGAGTTACAAAAAAGATGAGGTGTAAAGATGGCGAATATACAAAATTCAGTACATTAAAAAAAAAAAAAAAGAGTTCTAACTAAGAGGCGTTTGCCTCGTCAGCCTCTTGATGGTGCTGGACTGTCTCCTCATTATTGTTGGTATCACCATCCTCACGAGGTGGAGAGTCGAGGTGAATGACAGAATCGTTCTGTTGAGTCCTACCCTCTATAGCGTGGGAAGAATCATTCTGCTGAGGGTTATCTTCAGCAGTAATAACAGATGGAGTCACGGTGGACAGAGGAAGAATGTCCAAAGTCAGAGCAGCATAAGGAGTAGGAGTGATCCGAGAAGAGGCAATCTCTTGGCATTCATCAAATATGCCCTCAGCAGCGGTGGAGTCTGGATCGGCATAAACACCAGGAGGGTCAATATCCAGTTCTTTGTCAACATTATCAGGGGTAGAACCGGTCTGACCCTCATCCGGAAAACGATCGGCATAACCCTCTCGAAACCCCTGAGCATATCTGAGGGCTCCAACTCTAGAAAAACGAGCATGCAGAGCTAGCATACCACCGTTTACCCTACTGATGGTATCGAGTAAAGTGTTGCGCTCGTCCAAGGCCCTTTTCTCAAAGGCCATCCGAGCGGATTGCTCATCACTCAGAAGGCGTAACAGTTCTTCCTTTTCAGCCTTAAGGGATTCCCGTTCGGTATGCCAGACACTCTTTTCGAGCTGCAATGCATTCCTCTCATCCTGAAGAGAGTCAGTGTAATACCCCTAAAATTAAAAAGGATATAATTGAGATTTTACTATTTATTTTAAGTGTTTTATGTGTTTAGGTTTAATTGATTAAATTATTTGTTCGTTCTTTATTTGATTTAATTGTTTAGTCTTTAATTAATTTAATTGTCATTTAGGTTGTTTTTGAATTGTTTTGTTGGTTAATTATTTTATGTAATTTAATTGTGGTTTTAATTAATTGGTTAATTGTTTTTTTTATTTTATTTAATTAAATAGGTTAAATTATTAGGGTTTTGTCTCTTTACTGTCACGTTTGAATAAAGCCGCCTTGTTTAATTAAGCCGC